TGACTATATAAAAAAAAGATCGTCGCCAATCATATTTATCCTAATAACAGCCAATCAAAACAAACTTCCGCTATGCTCCCTAACGCTAAACTAACCCTAACCCTAATTACAATTAAATCTTTAAAAATCACGTAGGTAAAAGGCTTTAGCGATCCCCCGGATTGGGCGGATTCCAATCCGGGGTACAACATATATATTAAAAAAATTAAAGTGGCTATTTTCTATTTAAAAAATTTTCTTGAAAAATCCACCATTTGAAGCTAAATATATATTTTTTACTTGATACTACATCAGTCTTGTAGTCACTCATACTAGGTGGCACTACTCTATCTTCTACAGCTTTTTTATTTTCAATTTCCTCATCAACTACACCCCAAACTTTACTTGGTTTTGGTCCCATTTGTAATTCCATTACTGCGCCTTTTGAGATATCGCTATGTCTAAACCAAGTTTTTTCCCATTTTCTACCATTTAATTTTACACTCTGAACATATGGATTAATGTAAATTTGTCTTGAATTATCGGTTTCAATTGAAGAAGGTGAAGCAGAATTTAAAGAATCAGCATCAATAACGACATGATTTATGGAAGAGTAGTTAGATACAGAATCTGATTCGTCATTAGGGATGTATGTAAGATTGTGAGCTATAATATTAAATGTTATTGGTGGTGATATCGAAAGATATATAGTAATCGTTTCGAATTGTGGTGAGTTTATCAAGTAGATATCTGTTCCAGCTCTATTATTGCGTAGAAAAAGGTTAAATTGTTTGAGCGTATCATTGTACATAAAATTAAATATTTTTATTGAAACAAAATTCTTACATTGGAAATAATCCAAGAGCGTTGAAAGCATACCAACTTCCCATTGCTCCGGAGTCATCATTTCCTATAAAATAGAAAATTTAAGTCAAATGTGGAATATGGTTTATTTAACACGAATTTATTAAATAGGTTTGTTTGTTTAAGATGCCATCTTTTGAGGGAACCGTGAATGGAGTGGTAAATAATGTAGTACCGCATAAGCGCGTAATAACACGCGTCTGCGCGTTATTTCACGGTATTTCGAATTATACGTAATATTAATTTTGTGAAAAAAGCCATTACTACTAAAGCTTTCCTGTGAATTCACTTTAGTACATATGTAAGGCTCGTTATTATAAGACGTACATGTACGTTATTTTTCTTTTTTTGAAAAAGTGGAAATTTCAAAACAACGCCCATACGCGTTATTACGCGCCAATATGGCATTATAAATGATTAATTATAATTAACATTTAGCACTACTTATAGTATCTCCTATGGTTAAGACGAGGGTGCTACTTACGCCTACCATTCTAATTCTTTAGTAATAACCGGGAGTAAAGCTAAACTTTTCATACAAATTATATCCAAATCTAGTACTTTGTTCTATGCAAAGTATTCCCGGTACTCATAAGTTTAAAAACAAAAGTTGAATAAGACCTTGGATACTATAAGCAATGCTAAACAATTTATAATACGTGATAACTGGATGGTCCATAGTAAAAGCCACGTAATAAATAGTATTCATCTAATTATCATATTTTATATTACGAACCTGGAATCCCGTCATTACTATTTCTGAATTTAGTATCCATAATCTTTCTAATAATTTCCACACTTTTATACTGTTTTCCAATGAAATGATATAAACAAGTATGAAAAAAGTCAGGCTCATTCCCTATGTTATAGTAAGTTCCTAAAAAAGTGTTATCTGAGAATGTTTTGTCAAGTCTTATTTCAAAAAGGTTTGGACCTCCCGATAGTTCGATTAACTTTTTTACATCTTATTTGTTGTAAATGGTATAGATCAAATTAGAATTATTCAATTACTTTAAAAGTGTCGTTAAGCATACGCACCAAAAGGTACATCCAAACTATACTCCCATGACGTGCCCTCATAAAATGTATTCCAACCTCCATCAAAATTTCTATCAACATTCCAGTCCATATTGAATGATCCGTCAATATATCTTGGTAGGATAAATCCTTTAACCCCTATTTATCATGCCACATAGAAGTTAAACTATCATTAATAGAAAAATTAATGTAAAGACGAAGGAAAGATACAAAAATTACCATCATAAATTTTATCAGAGCACCATAAATTCTCCCAACTACTTGCACGTTTTTTGTATTTTATAAAGTCATCGATTTTACCTAACCCTTTAAAATTAATCACACATACATAAATATATGTGTACACATCAATACATTAATAGTAATTAATTAGATTGAAAAAAATAAATACCTTTAGCAACAAGGCTAATACTATAATCATTGGCACTATACTCCAAAGTTCGACTACATTGAGCATTAGCGTATCCAGTTTCTTCATCATCCGGGAAAGGAATATAACCATATTTCTTATAATCCGTTAAATATAATCGACCTTCAGACAAGCCTTTTTCCCATGGATCTATTTCCGCATCTTTGATGAGAGCATTATATGCTAATTCCCAATCTATTTTACCACTGATATCTAAATTCTTTAAATATGTTTCTGCCTATAATTAAAGGAAAGATTGAAATAGTAGGGTGATTAAAAGAAATTATTGTCGATTTACATAAAATATGTACAGTCAGACCTCCCTAAATGCAACCTCAGTCTTTGGCCCAAATATAGTTCTAACCTCAATAAATGCAATTTTTCTTATTGTTCTCGAAATGCATATTATCGAAAGTTTGATCCCATGAGTTGCATTTAAAGAGGTCTGACTGTATTTATATAATTACCACAACCATATCGGCATTAGATCCACCTTGTGTAATCCCATTCCATGAACCACTTCTTCCATCAGGCATATAGCCTTCATGCACGTAAATATCGACTAGTGAATTAGTAAT